AATGAGTGCACTTGATTTATTTATTTTTTTTCCCTGTGGTCCCACAGTAAAGGGAGTTGCATAAGAAGGCGCCCCGCACTTTTTCAGATCTTTACTTATAATATTGTTGAAAACTAAATACAATTTTCTACAATTATGAGCTACATTGTGCTTGTGCGATCCATAAAATCTGAGAGCAGAGCGATACACTGTTGTTCTAACCCACTTAAACCCAGTATATAACTGAACTCGGAACCATTAAGACAGCCTGCCTTGTTTGTTAATGAAAGCTTTTACTTTATGAGTCACTTGTATGTTTTTTTTTCCCTTCTTATGATGCATGTAGAGTGAAAAAATAGAGGTAAAAGAGACTTACTAAATAGAAAACATGAATAATAAATACAATATGGGGATTCAGAGGGAGCAGCGCTTATGAATAAAGGTATTTTTTGCCAATTTGGGACTGGCTCTAGGAGGAAATTGGCTTCCACATCACATTCCTTCAAGCCACAAACTTTTATTGTGAAATAAAATACAATGGCTAAAATAAGAACAGACCCTCAAACGCATAAAAACAAGACATTCAAAGGCAGAGAAATATGGCTAATGAAATGCAGTGCATTAGCTGCAATTGCATGTGTATTGTTTACACGACACACTTAGATCTTGAGAGCAAAAACCTCGGCTATAGTCCGTGCGATAACAAATGACAAAATCAGATAAACCTGGCAAGTGTATCCTGAACATCCTTCCTGCGTCAAATTAGCAGGATTTCTAATTTTGCAACTAATATAGAAAGACAAATGCTCGCAGTTGTAATTCCACTGACGTGTTTCAGAAATAACACAGATCGAACTAGGTCACGGTGGCACACTTCCTGTTGCTGTGTTGCTGTTGTGTCAGCCATCGGACTGCGGTGAAGTGACAGTCTCTGTCAGCGGCTTTCCGGGAGAGAAGGTGTGCGAGCGAGAGAAGCAGGACGCGCAGGAAGGAACGCTCGGGCTGCACTTCATGCGAATCCGAATAAAATCCAGCGACAGCCTTTTGTTTTTTAGTTTATTCGAGATCTGATGGACTGCCGTTTACGCTAGACGGTTTCTAGTTATGTAGACGCAGAAAGTCACGGTTGACAATTTCTCCAATTACTCCAGTGCGACTTATGTCGTTTTTCTCTTCACCGCACACTTTTCGACTGATGCGACTTACACTCCGGAGTGGCTTATAGTCAAGCTGTGCTGATTTCATACCTGTCTTTTTGGCAAAAAAGTAAAAAAGAAAGTAATTTTCTACACAATGTCAAGTCATACCCAACTTGGGGAGGTTTTGTCCAACTGGTGAGGAAGTAAGGTGACCCGGAGCTGACTTAATAGATATCAGCAAGGCTGAAGATTTATTTTCTAACGCTTTCGACTTCTGTGATGGAACATGTTGAATCCTGAAATCTTTAGAGCCTTTTAGAGAATTCAGGGTTAAGCTCAGTGTCTGCATTTTAACACTGATGCACACACAAGACACTGATTTTTATAGTAAAAAAAAAAAAAAAATCCAAAACTGTGATATTTGTTTTAAATGAGTAAAACCCTGTTTCAGAGTCATTTCCACACCGTTGTTCCAAACTTTAATAATGACTAACAAAAAAGAAGCAGCATAAATACGTTTAGGCC